GTCACCAACACCGGCGTCGGTGATATCGTTGCTGTTGACGTCGGAGGACACGGCAGCGACCGCTTTGCTCTTGGTAGCAGCGTCGGTGCTGAGGCTGACATCGTCAAGCTTGGTGCCCTCGCCCGCGTCAGCGTCGGCGTCCTTGGAATCGCTGTCGTCGTTGTCGTCGTCCTCGTTGTTGTTGTCGGCACCCACCGAGTCGTTCGCGGTGGTACCGATGAGGGCCGCATCCGTCGTGTTGATTTCGTCTGCGGCTACGTTTCGGTCGAGGTGGCGCCGATCACCGCGGAGGTGGCGCTTCATAGCGTTCATCGGCTGAGCAACGTTGCGATGCTCGGGGTGCGCCAGAGCATTCGCATCTGCATGTCAAAAGTCAACCGTCGAATCATCCAAGGGGCATCGTACGCTGGGCGGCACCGAGCGACTCGTGCAAGACGACGCACAAGGCGGCGAGGGTCAACGGGTGATAAATGCGCATGGCAAAGTGGATGGAGTTTGAATTGTGAGAGGCTCGAGGCTCGCTGCTCGGGGTTGTTTCAGGCACACGGTGCGTCCCAAAAATATACGTCGTCCCGCAAGAAGCATTTGGCAGAAGAGCTGCTTGGAATTCTTGCCGCCCCTGCTAGCATAGACAGGACGGAGCGAAACGACCACTGAAACGACTGCGAAAGGCGCCAAGTGCAGTGCCACCAAGATTAGCGACCAATCGAGTCACTGGCGCCTATCTTAAGCCAGCGCACAACTGCCCAACGGGCGCCGGGCAAGCAGAGGCTCGTCGTTCGTTCTCGACTACTGACCCAGAATTCAACGTCGTGCTCCGTCGAGATTGCACTACTCACGACTCTTGCCGCTGTATCTTCTTCGGGTGCAGTGGTCCATACAGAGGTGCTGTAGGCGAGCGACCATTATTGCAGTGGTATACGCTCGAGCATGTCCAACCTCTTTGAGCGCATTTTGGTACCGGTATCGCCGAGCACGGTTGGCCACAACTTCAACAACGCAGATACTTTTAAAAGTGGTAAATATGGCAATGCCACAAATAAGTGCCTCTCGTCGTCGGATCCCACTTCTGGCAAGATGATGCGCTGCAGTGCAGTGTGGTGGACGGCGCTCGCGCTTGCTGCGTGGCGCCCGCTGGCCGCCTTTGCGCTTCGGACCAACATGCGCGAGCTCACGAGATGGACGTTCCGCAACAGCAACGGATCCATTGCGATCCTCGACGCGACAGTCCCCGGGTCGTCGCATGTACATCTTTTGTCGGCAGGCGTCATCTCCGACCCGCACCAGCGCTACAACGAGCGCGCGCTGGCATGGGTCGCCGCTGAAACGTGGCACTACGAGACGACGTTCGAGCTGCCGGCGCACCGGCCATGCCACCTCCGCGCCGCCACGATCGACGGACCTGCGACGCTCTTTGTCAACGGCGTCGAGGTCGCCGCAACGGCCAACTCGTTTCTAGCGTATGCATTCGACCTCACCGCCTACGTTCATGCGGGCAGAAACCATCTTTCATTTGTCTTCGAGCCACCGCTAGCCTACACGGCGCGCCTCGTACATCCATGCCAGCACCCTCGAGCTCTCAACTTCTCACAACTGTAGGCGGCGGCGTATCCGTACTACGTCCCGGCGACGATCAACCCCAACACGTGGGCAGAGCCAACACATCGCCCGTTTCTTCGCAAGGCAGGCAGCGACTTTGGCTGGGACTGGGGCCCCGGTACACTGGCTTCGTTGATACCGAGATGCATGATCGGCATGTACTAGCCTTTGTGCCCGTGGGACTCGCGGGTCCCGTGCACCTCGTGCTGCCGTCCGCCTGCGCCGCCCGACTCGACGAGTACACGATTGACCAGACGCACGCGCCAGACATGTCGTTTGCGCATCTGGTGTTTCGTGGCTTCATCGACGGCGTCTGCAACGACTCGGCGTTGGCACTGCATGTGCGCCTCGGTAACGTCACAGTCGCCGTGGCCGTCGCTCCGTCGACGTCGAAGCCGGCGTACCTCGAAGCGACGTATTTTGTATCTCGACCCTTGCACCACAACGACCGGCATGCTTTAGGTACACGCTTCAAAACCCCGAGTTATGGTGGCCCAAGGGCTACGGACGTCCGCACCTCTACGACGTCGAGCTCCTCTTGACGACGACGTCCGGCACTCGCCTCGATGCCCGCCGAGGCCAATTGGGCATCCGCTCGATTGTGCTCGACCAGTCGCCCGCCAACCCGACCGGCCATCACTTTCGGTTCATCATAAACGGTCGGCGCATCTTTGTACGGGGCGCCAACTGGGTGCCCTCCAACGTCTTCCCAACGCGGACGACGCACGCCACGCTCGCGCACCTCCTCACGAGTGCGAGCACCGTGCACATGAACATGGTAATTGCGTTTCTGGGGTGCGAGTTCGGATGCTCGAGGTGTAGGTGCGCGTCTGGGGCGGTGGCCGGTACGAGTCGGACGCCTTTTACTCCTTTTGCGACGCCCACGGCCTCCTCGTGTGGCAAGAGCTCATGTTTGCCTGCGCCGCGTACCCGCGGGACGCGTCCTTTCTCAAAACCGTGGCGGACGAGGTGCGCTACCAAGTCCGGCGCCTGAAAAAGTTCACGAGCCTCGTGGTCTGGGGCGGCAACAACGAGAACGAGTCGATCATGGACCAGTTTGCCAACGGGTGGTTCCTTCCCGACGGCAACGTCTTCAACCGCGACCGCGCCGTCACCGACTATGTCAAGGTGTTTGTCGACACGGTGGCGCCGATCGTCTTGACCGCCGACCCCGGGCGTCCGTTTCTCGACTCGTCTCCATCCAACGGCGTTCTGAGCACGTCGCCGTACGTCAAGCGCTGGGAGAATACGTCTTCGGTCGACGACGGGTAGGACCACGCGCTACAGACACGTCATAACGCTTCGTCTAGTGACGTCCACTACTACAACGTTGTCCGCGACTGCATGGACTGGACGCAGTACCCGGCGGCGCGCTTCGTCTCGGAGTTTGGTTTTCAATCGATGCCGTCGGCGGCGGCGTGGGCGACGGTCACCGACGCAAGCGACTGGGCGACGATCGACGCCATGCACGCGATGCTGGCCTTTCGCCAGCGGTCGCCCAACGGCACGGAGCACATTCAGCACCAACTCGACTTGCATTTTGCCTCGCTACCCACGACTGGATCCGTGGCCGAGCGGCTACGGGCGTACACGTGGCTCACGCAGGTGCAGCAAGGGCTGTGTTATGCAACGGCCATTGGCACGTGGCGGCGCCTTGGGGCGACCGGCGTGCTCTACTGGCAGCTCAACGACGTCTGGGTCGGCCCGAGCTGGTCGAGCATCGACGTCCACGGGCACTGGAAGGCGCTCCATGCGATGGTCCGCGCCCCGTTTGCGCCCCAAGCGACGATCGTCCACGAAGATGCGACTACCGGTAGCATCTCGGCGACGATCGTGAGCGATGTCAACGCAACCGTGGTGGTGCACATCTCGCTCTATCGATTTGCGGCTGCCGCCACTGCGCTGAAGGTCCTTGACACGACCGTAGCCGTGGATTCCGAGGTACGTACGGCGTCTGATATTACTAGAATGTGAGCTCATGATGATGCGTAGTCGGCAGTCGTGGCGTGGCATGTCGAGAGCGTGACGGACCTCTTAGCGGCCCACGACTGCGACCGCGCGGCTTGCTTTCTAACGGTCGCCAGCCCGTCGCTGGACGACGAGGTATATCACTTTTTCCGCCCGTTCAAGGACCTCCCGCTGCTGCCGGCCGTCGTTGCCACGACGATTGTCGAGGCCAATGTGACGTCGTGGTCGTTCCAAGTCTCGTGCGTCTCGGGGCATCCTGCACTGTTTGTGACACTCGAGACCGCGGTCGTCGGGCAGTGGAGCGCCAACGTGTTGCACCTGCGCCCGGGCAGCTCGCGTCTGGTGACGTTTTGGCCGGCGACGCCGACGCCCCTCGCACCGGTGACGACGACGCATCTTTTTGACGCGTATACGCCAAGTGCCCACGAGACGAGTGCTGCCTAAGCCGTAGAAAAGTTTCAAGTCGCCATATTGATACAATCGACTCTTTTGCCTTGAGTTTCTCGTGGCTCATATCCCGCGTTTTCGCTGACATGCGGCGTTGACTTGAACCTCGGCGGTCTCGGCCGCTCGTGACAAAAGGTCATGCGGCTCTTCCATCTCTTGTTCGTCGTCCGAAGCGGCAAGTTGTTTGAAGATGCAAGTGCTCCATCGTCATGAGCATGTTGCTAGTAGACAACTACATGACATACAAGGAAATCAAATCTTGTTGATGTCTTCTTGAGGATCGAAGATGTACGATCAAGCGAGGTCCGAGGGCACGTCGTCCCTATATCGCCTGAGGAGATCGTTCGAAGATGACGTCCTCGGTTTGGGGCGCTTGGACATTTTGAACTTCGCAGTCAGTCCAAGTTGAAAGTGCACGCCACCACCCAACCGTATACATTCTCGGAGGTCTCGAGATTGGATTTCAGAGGCCTTCTGCTCACTTGTCGGAGGCATAGTACCCAGGCGGCCTGGGCATTTCTGCACCTGGCGGGCCGGTCGGTAGAGAATGCAGCCGCAAGGTATCGCGGCAACCTCTGGTACGTGGACGCAGTTGGGCCCGATGCCTGAACGACGGTCTTTGATTGGCTGAGCTGTTTTTATTGAGCAAATCACAGCCCGCCTGGGATACTATTCTAGCCAATGGCATCGCTCGAGAAATGGCAATCTTGTTCCTGGATGCCGCTGCAGGAAGAGGCTAGGAAGGACGCCAAGACCAAGAGATGTATGCTGAGAAGGTGACGCCAAGGCCGCTGGCATTGATAGCTGCAAGAGATAAAATAACCCTTGATAGCAGGTCCGTACTTTGTCCCTTGCTTGAGCCGTTTGTGCAGGCCCTGTCGTCTTGCACAGCCCGTTGCAAGCCAACGCCACCACATCTTATGAGACGGCATCGAATCGCCACCGTGTCTCGTGCCAAGTCACACCCGTTTCTCATTGGATTGGTGCTTGCAACGCGCCCCAGCGCGATGGCGACACCGAGGCACGACGCCACGACTAAGTTGGCTGGGACGCTAGAGCAGGTCATGCAGCTCTGGGGTGAACGCCACCTCCATTTCTTGTTGCGTCAAGTGTACTATAGGTGTACATAGCCTGGTTTCTTCAGTTCAAACTGTCGGCTCGGACAAGGCAGCAACGCGAAGCACCTTCGAGTAGTCAACCGGAGTGCCATTGTACTGGCTTTTGGAAAACAGTACTAGTACGGTGCGGCAAGAGCTCGCGGGGAGTGTTTACATCCGACGATATATATGTATCAAGTCCAAAAATGAATCTACTTTTTCTTTTGCTTGGAGAGCTTCTTGTGGCGCTTCTTGACGTGCTTGGGGATCTTGGACGCGCGCTTCTCGCGCTTCTCTTCTTTGACGCGGTTCTTGTTGGCCTTGAGCTCGGCGCGCTCGGCGGCCTTGGCCTGCTCGCGGGCTTCGCGCCGCTCCTGTCGGAACGCCATGCGCTGCTTGTACATTTCCTCCGTCTCCTCTTCGTCCGTTTCTTCGTCATCTTCCGAGTCATCGTCCGAGTCGTCATCATCGTCGTCCGAGTCGTCATCGTCGTCGTCCGAGTCGTCAAGCGCATCCATATCGAGCTCGTCGACGTTGAGGAGGTCCATGAGGCGCGGCTGCGAGACCTCGAGGCGCGAAATCGCAGCCGACAATGTCTTCTCCATGCGGCCTTCGGCGTACGCAAGCTGATCGCGCTCCGAGTTGAGCACTTGGCCGAGCGACGACGGGATAAAGGTCTGCATGAAGACAGCTTCTTCGACCTGCTGCTCGTTCGTCTTGGTCGTCGGGCGGTCCTCAACCTGGACTTGGATCATATCGAGCATCGCATCGACCTGCTCGTCGTTGAGTTGCCGGGGGTCCGTCACAAACTCAAAGAGCTCCTTTGTTGACATCGGGTCGAGGCCCTACGCGACAAAGTATGAGAAAAGACTGTCAGACCATCGTGAACGTACGCTCTTCTGGAAGAAGTCGGTGATGTTTTTGCAGTCCTTGCGGAGAAACTCGCTCGCGCACGGGTGCTCGTGCTCGACACTCTGCGAGACATCGATAAAGTAGAGCTTGCTCTGGAAGTAGAGCAAGTTGTACTCGGAGAGATCACCGTGCACGAGCTTGCACACTTGGTACATGACGCGCATCGTCTTGACGCACGAAATGTACACAGAGCGCAATTGCGACTCGGAGAGACGCGCGTCCTTGAGGCGCGGCGCCGCCCACCCGTCAATACCAATGAACGTCATGAGGAGCACGTGCGACCGCAGCATGATCGGGTCCGGGCAGTAGATGCCGGCGTCCTTGAGGCGCTTCAAGTTGCGCATCTCCTTTTCGGCCCAGAGCTTGACCATCTTGCGTGGGTTGGACTTGCAGTAGCCGTGGCGGAAGCGGAACTCACCGGAGACGTACTTGTCGCGGTCCTTGAAGACGAGGATGGCCGTCTTGTAGACCTTGATCGCGCCTTCGCCACCGGCGCCGAGGCGTGCGTGGTACACATTAGCTTCCTTGCCCGTCGAGAGACAGCCGTTGATCTCGGTCACGACACCTTGGTTGAGCATGCGGTAGAGCATCATGCGCGTGCGCGGGTCGAGCACCTGCTCGGACGTAGCGCGGTCATCGCGGCCCGTGTGCTTGATACGGCCGCTCTCTTCGTTGCGCAGCGACTGCGCGAGCTGGTTGGACGCCGACTTGGAGAGCTTCCCTTCGTAGTCCATCGCGGCAAATTGCACTTTCCACCAACCAGTGTACACTTCCAATCACCCGCGCACCAATCAGCATCGAGATACTCTAAACATACATATTTTGAACCGAATAAACTATAAGAGGTTCCTCTCTCCCCATCATCATGCAAAGCGTTCGGACGCGGTGGGTTTTCACGCCACAATTGACGAATTCGCTCACAAGACGGACTTTTACATGTGGTCAATTGCTGTTTTGGGCTATGTTTCTTGCGCGGTAGTGATTCGGTCCTTCGTTTTTGCTCTGCATGTTCTTCATTTGTCGAGGAGAATTGACATTTCGTCAGTCTACGAGAACTTGCCAGGCCATACCACTTGCCCTATCCCACGAGAAGCAATGTCGTAGATCATGGTCGTAGATGTATCAACAAGCTTCGACTATAGTTTCGTCAGTGAGGCCGCTTGCATCGGCGATAAGAACTGAGAGTCTTAAACTGCCGCTAAACATCAGCAAGGGTCGTTTGCCGAATGTTGTGGCTCCATTTGGCGTGCTCTTTGCTGATGTGAATGTACCCAGCATGTTGTGTTCGTTGGCTCCTTGTCTATGATGGACTACGTAGACATCGTAGCCATTGAGATGAGCTTGGAGGCGAGCGCATCGTTCGATATGCATGGCGTCCTGCACGCAAAGTGTCAAGACGAGAATGGGTGACATCATGACTCGATTGATACATAAATAGATACAAACAGAAACGTGGTGTCAAGCGCGTATGGGGCGGTAGCTGCTATCGGGGCGATCTTGCATACGGCGCTGCATCGCTTGATACGAGTTGTTCAGATGCGGACGTACACCTGCGTCGACTGGAGCTGGCTCATGGGGACGTCGAGAGCCATGTCGAGCATCCACGCGCCGAGCGACGAAGCCTCTTTCACTTGGTGCAGCGCGTCGTCGGACGAGACCCACTGGCCGTCCATGCTTTCGGTCATCGGCGCCTCAATAGAGGGAGCGCCAAACTGCACCGGCGAGGTCGCGCAGACGTCAAAGGTAATAGGCGAGTTCATGGTCGATGGCAAATTGAATAATGAGCCATCGCAACAATCAGCGCGATCGTCTTCGTCCGAGCCATCTTGATACACCGATACTCTGATATCATCCGGATACTGATACAAATGGCAAGCTTCCGGTAATGCATCGATCTATCAGCTGCGTGTCGCGCGCTGTGTCGCGTAGCCTTTCCAGTCGCGCACAGAGGGGCCACGCACAAAAGTAAGCGCGAGCGCGCCACAGATACTTCTGTACACGTGATTTCCCACCGCCGTTAGTTGGTGGTTCATTGTCTCGTCGACGCTTATTTGGCAAAACGAGCGTGCGGTGATCTGCGCTCCAGCACTTCGTATCAAGCGCAAGCTGCTCGTGTCCATGCAAATGCACGCACATCCGCTTCCGTGGAGCCTACAGTGTACTCCAATGCCGTCTGCATGCGCTTGACTTGCTTGCGTTGCGCCGAGAGGTACTTAAGCTGCCGCTTCGGTGCACCCTCTAAATTCCAGAGCTAAGAATCGGTCGCTGTACAAGCACCAGAGCGCAAGACCGAGCGCTACGGAGCCATCAAGGTGCGTTGGAGTATGGTTGCGATGTCAGCCTTGGCCCAACGACGCGGCTGGCCAAACTAGCTGTAGCTGGCTTATATTCGCCGCTACTGCGCGCATCGTCGTCGACCGAGAGGCCATTGCACTCGAAAAGGACAGTCTCTCGCAACGGCAGTCTCCATCGATCTCGCGACCAGAAGGGCCTCGGCACATTGCGCGATGTGGCGAGAAGCGCCCACGTCGCAACGAACGCGCAGCCTGAATTCAAGCAGCTGCGCACACCCATGGCTGGTCCATCTACGGTACGCGTGCTCTTCGGACGTGCAGTCTGCGAGAGCGACGATGACGCAGATCCAACTTTTCATTGACGTCAATGCTACAATAAATACAACCTTGCCTAGCGCTCAGTCGTCATTGGCGGTTGCCTTCGCGGGCTTTGGTCGATGCGACGTGGTGGCTGCCGTCGGCGACAACGGCGCGGAGCTCGACACGCCCGTGTCATTGGCGAGCTTTTGTCGGTACGCGTCTAGCATCTCGAGCTGGCGCATCTCGTCGTCGTTAAAGTCCTCGATCGTCGTCGAGGCCTCCAAGTGATGCAGCTCATCGTCGTCGTCGCCGTCCAGCGTGCGTCCGAGGGCGAACTCCTTCTCCTCCATCTCGAGGTCCTTGCTGATGGCCTCGTACTGGGACTTGTGCTTGCGGCCACAGCAGCATTTGCAGAGGATGCAGAAGAGGAAGATGAGCACCGCGCTCGTCCCGGCAGCGACGCCCGCCAGCGCCCACGTCGGCAGCTCCTCGGCGCGGGCGCGGACCTGCGCTTCGACGTCGTCCCAGGTCGTCATCCACTCAGTCGTGCTTGGAAACCAAGATGTCTCCGGAGCGCCACGTTGTGCGATCGTTTATTTTATCATTCGATCGCTGTATTCACAATCCCAAACATCGATTTTATTAAATTTGGCCTCGTACATATTGTACGCTCTTGCCGTACGTCTTTGCATACAAAGAACAAGTGCAATAAACATACGAGACATGGCCGTACATCACGTACGCTTCAACATTACATCCCAAATGTCGCGCTGGTGATTGGCTGAAACGAAGATTTGATCCAGTTTGTTACACAACACTGTTTTAAACACGATCTTGTCTTTATCGCCGTGTGGGGACAATAGGCGCCGGATCTTGGTCCTCTGTTGACGGCCAGGCGAGAGGCGCGACGCGTCATTGGCGTCGCTACACCTCGAAGAAGGATCATCCTTTATGCAGTCAACTCAATCCAGCGTTGAAACTCGTGTATTTTACACTGTACATCACATTCGGCAAGGTCTATACGACGTCGCTTGCTTTACAGTATACTCTCGGTCCACCACAAAGCCGCGTTGAAAGCTAGCGCATAAACCATGGGTGCAATGTAGCGTAGCTCGAAGCGATGGCTACGCGCCGCCTTGGCGGTAAACGACACGTTGCTCGCGCGGCGCGTCCGTAACGGACGTCGCCCATTTTGTCACGCTCGCCACTGCACACGCCTCGGTAGGCCGCGTGGCGTCCACCATGCCAAACCCGTCAATGGTGTACATCAGCGGTTGCTGTACGTGCCTTCTCTAGCGCGGTCGTGCGCTCATGGACCTCGTTGGCGCCGACCGCTGGTGGTTCCGACAGCCCGAAAGATCGCGTGTATGAAATCGAAAGCAACAGTGTATAAAACAAATCCCAGTCAATTTGGCCTTTTTCCCCATTCGAGCATTTTCGTCGTCTTGGCTGCATCATGAGTCAGTTTGTCCGTGCGTCCAAGTACCGCCATGTGTACATGGAGCCTGCGAAGATCGAGAAGAGCTACACCAACCTGCGCCTGGCGACGGCAACGGGCGAGCAGAACTACATCAAGGGTAACACCAAGTTCTTCGCCGTGGCCATCCAGGCCGGCGGCGGCGCGTTCGCGGTCGTGCCCTACGAGAAGGTCGGCAAGTTCGACCCGGACTTCCCGCTCATTGGCGGCCACCGTGGCGCGATCATGGACTTTGACTTTAACCCGTTCCACGAGCACCTCATTGCATCGGCGTCCGACGATACGACGTTGAAGGTGTGGGGCATCCCGGAAGGCGGCCTCACCGAGACGATGACCGAGCCGCTCGTCGACTTGACGGGCCACGGCCGCAAGGTCACGCTCACGTACTTCCACCCGACGGCCTCGAACGTCTTGGCCTCGACGTCGGCGGATTACACGGTGCGCCTCTGGGACATTGAGAAGGGGTCGCAGATCGTCAACATGGAGCACAACACGGAGAACCTCGTCCAGGACATGGCGTGGAACTGGACGGGCTCGACGCTCGCGACGACGTGCAAGGACAAGGTCGTCCGCCTCTACGATGCGCGCTCGGGCCAGGTCTCGGCGCAGAAGGAGAACGCGCACGAGGGCAGCAAGAGTGTCAAGCTCACGTTCCTCGGCGAGAAGGACCTCTTTGCGACCGTCGGCTTTAGCCGCCAGTCGCAGCGCCGCCTCAAGGTCTGGGACCCGCGCAAGCTCGATAAGGAGCTCAAGAAGATTGACATTGACCAAGCCGCCGGTGTCATCATGCCCTTCTTCGACGCCGACACCAACATCTTGTACTTGTGCGGCAAGGGCGACGGCAACATCCGCTACTACGAGATGAACGACGCCGACCCGTTTGCGTACCCGCTCAACGAGTACCGCTCGACGGTCGCTGCCCGTGGTATGGCCATGATCCCCAAGCGCGGCTGCGACATCATGTCGTGCGAGACGACGCGCCTCCTCAAGCTCACGACGAACGCGGTCGAGCCCCTCCACGTGTACGTGCCGCGCAAGTCGGACGCGTTCCAGGACGACATCTACCCGGACACGTACGCTGGCGTGCCGTCGCACACGGCCGACGAATGGCTCGCTGGCTCGGAGAAGGGCCCAGTGCTCAGCTCGCTCAACCCGCACACGTTTGGCGAGATCACGTCGCACGGCAAGGAAGGCACGGCCGCGGCCCGCCCGACGCGCGTCACCCGGACGCCGTCCTCGACCGCGGCCCCGGCCTCGTCGGGCAAGTCGGCGGCGGCGCTTCAGGCCGAGCTTGACGCGGCGAACGCGCGCATCGCCGAACTTGAAGCCAAGTTGACGGCGGCCAACATCGACTTTTAGATGAGGAAATTTAATGCTAATGAAAAACAGGGGCGGCTGCATTGCCATCGCAGCACCAGCGAGTCCTCCTGGCGACGACCAGAATCACCGAAACACTTTCTGGAGCCAGCACGCGCCACGTCATCGCCGAGTCTAAAAACACGCAACTGCAACCAGCAACCGAGCAGAAGCAAGCAATTAGTAAAGCAGACGGTCGGCGTCCAACGTCCACGAGAGAATGTCGTGGACCTGCCACGCTGCGGCGCCGGTCGCGGCCGTAAACCCCACATACGCGCGCCCGCCCATGCCCAGCTGCAACGTAGCCTCGAGGTGCAGTGGGACGCTGAGTACGTCGAGGCCGTCGAGGGTGATCGCAAGGCACCCGAGACCCAGCGTGTTCCAGTGCGGGAGCAGCTGCGACACGTACGCCGACGGCTGAAAGTGTGGCGCAAACGCCCTACCAAAGTAGCTAAGTCGCTATGTCTTGGGCGCAGTGACAACATGTCGGTCGTGAGCCATGGCGTGTACGTGATGGTCACGACGTGGCTGCCGTCCGTGAGATCGGGGATCCTGCAGCACATAGAGTGGGAGCCTGCAATGCGCGGTCCAACGCACGTACGCGGTCGTAGCGCCGAGCGAGAAGGCATGGTGGGCCGAGTTCGGCGATGAAAACCCCCGCGTCTGGACGCTTACGTGGTTTTCGTAAGCGTCGGCGAGGTCGTCGTTGTACCTGCGTACATACTACCTAAGTCATCCATTCGCGACGAGTTGCAGCCACCGACCACGTGTCAAACTCGACACTCAGCGCGTTCTCGAGGCCCGCATAGCCCAGTCCCGCGCCGCCCCGTCCCACAACCGAGGTATTGACGCCTTGGAGCACAAAGGCGAGACCGTCACCGCCCCGCGATCTGCATACCACCATGCTAAACTTGACAGTGCGAGTACGACAACAGTACCGGCAGTGGGTCGACACGTCGTCCATAAACCTGCAGTGGAACGACGGGTTGGAAATGCGGAGCGCAAAGGTCGTCGAGAAGCCTTCGCTCACCGTCATGGGCCGAGGATACCACGCTGCCCCCGTCAAATACGGCGCTGAGCCCGTGAGGCGCAACGCAGGCCCGCACGGCGGAAGAGGCAAGACAGCTGGTGGCACAGTGACAGCGCTACTGTTGCGGATCGTCGTCAGCGACGCTGTCGGTGAGCTTCGGGTCGTTGCCAGTGGCAGCGCCGCGCACGTGAGGTAGCACGCATTGGTGCTCGCGAGGATGTCGCAACAGACGCTAGTGCTGTTGCAATTTTGCACCTTCGTAGTACCAGCCTCGATAACGATGCAGTAACAACCAGGAGCGTACGTTGGCGTGGCCGAGGAGCACGAGGCCAAACGCGCCTTGGCCGCCCGCGTCGCCCGTGGGCCCTAGCGTCGTGTGCGGATACGTGGCCGAGTTGTTGAGAATCGCTGCCGCCGAGAAGCTAGAGAACGCAATGTCTACGCACCGCCACCAGTGGTATACTCTAACAAAAGCATCGTATACCGTGAAGGAGCGTGCGCACCGCCGGGCCAGCCACCGGCGACGGGCCGCCTATGACAGCCGTGCCGTCCACGGCCCGGCGCCCGTACTGATCCACATCTTGCCATAGCGCCGTGCGCTGCCTCATACGTGTGAGCACAACCAGTCGTCGCTATGCGTCGTGTGTACTTGGTTCTCGACAAGGGCTGTCACGGTGACATTGTACGTGGTGTTGGCGGCCAACGGCCGAATCGTCGTTGTCGTGACATTCCCGACGACCGCGGATGCGGTGGCGGTGCCGTCGGTCCACGCCACCATATACCCAGTCGTCGTCAGGCTCTGCCAAACGTCGCTCGGCGGGGCCCACGTCACGTCCATCGCGTGGGCTGCCACGTTGGAGAGCGTCGGTGCTTGTGTTAGCGTCACGGGCTCTAGTGATCATGAAAAGGATTGGTGTAGGATGTATCGAGAGACGGTGATGCGAACGTGCATATGTGACGAAGCGGCCGTCGACGCGCAGCCCGCGGAACGCTTCGTTGATGACGGTCACGACTGCCGGGTTGGGTGCATCGAGCGCGTTGGGCGGCAACGTACATAGCAGCACCTCTTCCTCAAATGTATCCGAGGCGAGCATCGGCGCAAGGAGTGTCGATGGCCCACGGCACGGCTGGCCGTTGATCTGCACGATGGAGTTGTCGCCAAAGTGGCGGCCTTGGATCGCGATCGTGTCGTTGGCCATGCAGTTGTACGTTGTCGCATACGGTAGCGAGAGGCGGCCAAAGAGAGATGTAAAGCGAGGGTGCACACCGTTGGTCTTGGTCATCTGCAGCGTCACGTTGGCCACGGGCGTCGTGAGCGCGCTCGTCGCAAAGTACTGGTCGATGCAACCGCGCACCTTGGTGATGGTCGGTGCTAATAGCAATGCTCCACCTCAGCCTTATCAATAACGGCGTCGTACCTT